AAATTTCTTGAGTGTCTCCTGTAACATTTTGGTTGACCCATATCCAAGTTATCCCTCTCTATAAAAATTCTCATTGATTACTTGCAGGATTTCTTCTTTCAGAATGTTCTTGTGGGCTTCATTGGCTTCTTTGGCATAGTTCATCTTCATTTTGTTGGAGTCTGGATTTGGGTATCTGTTTTCTTCATTTCCCTCTGGTTCCTGTACTAATTTATTATTGGGGGGAAAATGGTTTCCCTCTTTTTTCTATCTTCTCATCATTGCCCTTACTATTGTTACTGTCCCTGTACTGTGTGTAATTCAGTATTGTCTAGCTTGTAATAATATCAATGGTGATATCCAGAGTGAAAGGATGAGAGGAGAGGGAAAGCAAAGAAGGTAAAGAAAAAGGAAAAAAAACAACACAAAGAAACAAACACACACACACACACACACACACACACACACAAACAGAGCCAAAGAAATAAAGAGGGAGAGATAGTGTACTAATAATGGTGAGCTTAACAGGCATTAGAGAGACAGAGAGAGGATGATAAAAAAAATCCCCAAGTTCAAATGCAATAAAGTTTCATTCTTAATAATTTTGGTGTTAGTCCTTCAGTCTCCAGTCCCGGTGTTGGTATCTGAGAAGAAGTTCTGTTGTTGTCTCCTCAAAGGGGAAAAAAACAAACAAAAAAACCAAATGAAAACAAAACAAAAAAAATCCCAAGTTTAAATGCAATACAGTTTCAGTTAGTCCTTCAGTATCCAGTCCTATTTCTGTCCTTTTCTGGTGGTCTGCTTCTCTCAAGCAGGTTAGCCGCTGGCATCTTGCGGTGTGGGAGCCCTCCTGCTTTTTCCGTTTAATGTGGAGTGGGGATGCTATGTGTGGGCTGGGTGTGTGGAGGTGTTGGAATTTTGCCTCTTTTTGGTGGTTTTTCCTGCAAGGCATATCTCCAGCGTCTCTCCAAGATTTTACTTTAGGAAGCATGCTTTCTGCTTCCTTCCTCTAGTTGCCATCTTGGAATCCTCATCTCTGCCTTCTGAGTCACTAAGATTATAGGCTGTGTCAGTGCATCTAGCCAAATGATTGTCTTATAATGGATTAGTTTTGAGATTTTGTTTTCTTTATAATTTGGTTGTCCTTAAAAATTATATTATTTAGCACCTTAGCACTGAGACATTTTCATGTCACACAATCCCATCTGTGTTGGAAAAGAATACTTTTCTGGGTACTACATTCTTGACCATGGCAGACTTTTGCTAAAAGAGTGTCTCAACTTTATATGACTTCAAATATAATTTTATCATCAAGTGCAGCAATTTGCCTATCATTAGTTAGGGTAATGCTTTTAGATTTTATTTTCCAAAAAGTTTAATTCTAACCAGACACTTTTACTTAATTAGATTGACTCATTTGAGATACTTCATTCAGAGCCTCAGCCTTGCTAAAATTGCAAGGCAGTTTTCCTCATTGAGCACAAAGCTTGAAATTTTAGATGAGGTAAGTACTGGCAAATCAGTTTGTTGTATTGATCCTCCTGAAGCTGAAAAAGATCTGCACATGGACAAAGAGTAGCTAATTAACTTTTAACCCTGTGGGTATCATACTAATGCCATGCTGCCATGTTTTCCTTTTCTTTCTCTCTTCTTCACCATCCTCCACCCACCAGCCCATAACTTTCCAGCTGCAAAGGTAATCAGATATTTTCTCTATTCTCTATCACTGAGTTTCAGGTCTGATATTAAGGTCCTTGATCCATTTTGCATTGATACTAGTAGAAGGTGATAGACATGGATCTAGTTTCAGTTTCTTAAGATGCTTCTCACTGCCATAGTGATCAACTCTTTTCCTTTTGATGAAGGTAGTATGCTATAATCAGAAGAATATACCTCTGAAATAGGATTTGCAAATGAAATAAAAATTAATGTGGACTTGAGGTCCAATGGTTAATTGTTTAATGTGCCTTAGGAAAATGCCTAAATATTTTGTGATACCTTCCAGATATCTGTTTAACATGCTTCTCTAGGAAATAGGTGAGAATAGAGGGAAACATCTTATTTTTTCTTCACTCAAGTTAATTATTTATGGTCTGCTGTATTTATACAGGTCATCTGTATGCTATTCAGAATTGTAGTTACCCTGGGTTTTCTGTAATTTTTTGGCTTGATCTCTATGTCAGGCATGGTTTATTATATGTCTGCTGCAGAATGAATCAGAGTTAGTTTTATTAGCACTGACTGAAGGATGTGATATTACATGTATTGCTTCAAGTTGCTCCTTTGAAGGAAACCCAGAGAAATATCAGTAGCCAGAAACCTGAATATGCTTGATACTCATGTCCCATTAGACTTAGTTCTTCATCATCCTGTGTTCCATTTTCCTTATTATTGTAAGAAAAATATATTTTACTCAGGATCCTCAAGATCAGGAGGATCGCAATTTGAAGCCAGCCTGGGCAAATAATTCATGAGACCCTATCTCAAAAACAAAAAAAAGAAACCATCACAAAAAGGTGCTGGTAGAGTAGCTGAAGGCGTAGGCACTGAGTTCAAGTCCCAGTACTGCCCCCCTAAAAAGGAAAAATGTATTCTAACTCAGAATTTCAAAGGCAAAGTAATTTGACTAATCTTGACCAAACAAGGCAGATTGTATACATCCAAATAAGTCTTCTCTCTCTGTCTTTTTTTTTTTTGAAGCCATTGCCTTAAGAGACAACACTTAGAGGAGTTCAGTGTGTGTTCAGAACTCCTTTTGGAATCATTTTCAAAGAATGTGACATACTCCTTTGAATAGCCTCATTATCACAAATCTTAGTCTAAATATGTGATTTTTTTTTAAAGGTTGAAAATCTGTGGGTATCAAGTATGCTGTGGAAAGTAGAGGGCTTAGCTCAGTATTACAATTTTTTGGTTTAGGATGAGGTTTAACTAAGAAAATTTGTTTTTCTTTGCTCATAGTGGAGGTGAAATAATAAAGAGGTAGCAAAGAGCCCACCTGTAACAAAGTTTGGTTTAACTGTAGATGAGAAGTTTTAATAGAAGAAAATCTGAATGTATCATAACAATGAAAAACATATTTAACACCCAAATGCAATAAATATATCTTTAAATTTTTGAACAGTTTCCTCAAAGTTTGAAATTGAGAGTATGCTAGTTTCATGAAATGGAGAAATTTTCATCTTTTTGTTTTGTTTGGTATAATTTAAATCTCTGATTTTCAAACTCAAATTTATCTGTATATTGAAATTATCCAAGTAATTCTAATGTGCAGCCATAGTTGGGAACCATGGATTTAAAGAACATTAAAACTACTTGCTCTTGAAAATTGAGATTGATTCTGCTATAAAACCATATGTGCAATGAACTCAAGTTTTGTATTTCTGTTGAATAAGTTTTGGTTTCTAATTTTTAAAGAAGCCATCCATTTCTTTAGATTGTAAAAATACATTAACATGTATGATCTCTTTTGCACATATAATTCTTTTTTCACTTCTGTGTATCTTTATGCTTTTAAAAATTTTAATCTTACTTTTTATTCATTTTTACTTAATCCTCCATAAGGTTTATGATATCAACTTTTTAATTTCTTTCAGAGAACAACATTTGGAGATATATATATCTTTTTCCTTACTTTCAAATTTTATCATTATTGTATTGATTTTATTCTTTTTCTAATTTTTAAAGATGAATCAGTCTTTCATGTGTATCTTCCATAATATGGAAGGCATTTAAGGCTATACATCTTTTCTAATTTTAGTTTTAACTGAACCTTCTGTGTAATGTGCAATTTTGTTTTTAATTTTCTCTTTGATACAATGCTTATCAAAACTATATTTGTTAATATCCAAGTATCTTAATTTAAGGAGGTAGAATTTTTTTCTAATCATATTTTATTTCACATGTTATTGGATGATAATATGCCTTATTAAATGTTTCTTATTTTAATTTAAGAATTTTTAAAAATACAAGTGTAGGGTTGGTTCCCATAATGTCTCCAGGGACATATGAAAAATGAATTGTATTCCCGATTTGTAAAGTTCTTCATATGTCTATTAAATCAAATTTATTGTATATTCTATTTTTCCACATTTTTCTATCATAACTTGAAATATATGTATTATATATTTCTGTGCAGCAAGTCACCCCAATACCTAGTGGCTTAAAACTAAAATTTAATATCTTACAGTCTTTGGGTGCTGCTTAGATGGGTGGTTCTGTCTCATGATCTTTCTTGAGATAATGGTCAAACTATGGTCCAGGGCTGCAGTTAACTGAGAGGTTAACTGGAGATCACAAACCTGTTTCCAAGATGACTAACTCACCTGGTTGTAGGCACACCATTTTATATCCTTGGCAAACACATGGGCCTCTCCATAAGGGCTGCCTGAGTATTCTCATGATATAACAATTGACTTTCCCCAAAGTGAATGATCAAGTGAGAGACCAGGCAGACAACCCAGTCCTTGTGAACATTGTGAATACCTCAAATGAAAGAGTACAGGTGATTAAAAACGCCAACCAATGACTTGGCCTCAGGTGTGCACATCCCAACACAGAAGTAGAAGAAATGTGAAAAACAAGGCAATACAACTCTTCCAAAAGTCAACATTTTCACAGTAATAGACTCTAGTAATAGTGAGGTGGATGAAATCTAAGTCAAAAAAATTCAAAAGAATGATTATAAGGATGATCAATGAAATTAAAGGGGATACAAATAAATGCCTGAATGAATTCAAATAGAATAAAAATATACAGTTGAATGAAATAAGGGGCACATGCAAGATATGAAAGAAGAATTTAATAACGATATATAAATCTGAAAACAATCAAATTGAAGGTCTGGAAATGAAAATGTCAGTAAGTCAAATAAATTAGTTAACAAGAGACTGGATCAAGTAGAAGACAGAATATTAGTTCTCAAAGACAAGGTAGATGAATTAGAACATTCAGACAGTGATAAGGAAAAAAATAAGAAAGTACGAACACAACACAAAACACCATTAAAAGACCAACTCTACAAATCATAGGCATAGACAAAGGATAAGAGGTGCAAGCTAAAGGGATAGACAACATATTAAATAAAATAATAGAAAAATTCCCAATCTTGGGAGAAAGATGGTCATTCTGGTAAAATGACTTTTAGAACACCAGAGAAGACCAGAAAAGAACCTCTCTTTAACATATTATAGCTTAAACATTAAGTATACAGAAGAAGGAAAGAATACTGAAAGTTTTGCAATAGAGAAGCACCAAGTGACCTATAAAGGCAAACATATCAGAATAACAGTAGATTTCTTAACAGAAACCCTAAAAGCAAGGAGGGCATGAAATGATGTATTTCAAGCCCTGAAAGAGAATAACTACAAACCTAAATTACTCTTTGCAGCAAAGGTACCCTTCATAATTGAAGGAGAAATAAAAACCTTCTATAATAAAAACTAAAGGAATTCGTAAGATCTAAGTCAACACTTCAGAAAATACTTAAAGGAATGTTGTACACAAAAGAGGAAGACAAACACAACATGAAAATAAGGGAAAAATAAACCTCACTAGATGAATAAATAAGCAAATATGAATTAGGAAAGATTCGAACATTATAAAAACAACAAAATAATAGGAATTATACATAGTTTTCAGTAATAACTCTGAATGATAATGGTCTAATTCTTCAACCAAAAGACATAGACTGGCAAATTGGATTAAAGAACAAAACCCAAACATCTGTTAATTACAAGAAACATACCTCATTGGCAAAGACAAACACAGACTTAAAGCAAAAACATGGAAAGATATTCCAAGCAAATGAAGCCAAAAAGCATGCAGGAATAGCTATACAAAGAAGGTCACTTCATCTTGATAAAGTGAATAGTTCATCAAGAGGACATAATAATTTTAAATGTATCTGCACCAAAAGTTAATGCATCCAATTTGATAAACACTACTGGATATAAAACAAAGATAGACCCCCAACATGATAATCGTGGGTAAAGTCAATACCCCAACCATCACCAATAGATGGGTCTTCCAGACCAAAAAAAAATCAACAAAGAAACTTCAGAATTACATAACAGTATATGACAAATGGTTTTAACGTACATCTATAGAATATGTATATTATTTCTGGAAGGTGACTTTTTTGAGGGAAAATGTATATTTTGATATATGAGAACTTAGATTTTCACTTTGTAATATATATTAAAATATTTGAATTTTATATAATTATTATGTGCTAAAATGCACTTGGCTATTTCCTTATCAGGATGAAACTTAGAAGATGTAATCATATTACATATACTTATTTTGCATTAGAGTTTAATAGTGTAGGACTAAAAACAATAGCTATTTTGAAACCAACCCTCTTTCTGTATTTCAGCTCATTTTCATGCTGACATTGGTTTTAAAACTATTATCTTGTATTTAGGTGTGATATTCAAAATGTCTAACAATTAATATGGCCTGGTCAGTGATCATCCAGAATACATGATTGCAGGAGACAGCAGGTGTGCTGTTTCTGTTCCCACTGGTTTATTAGTCCTGTTCTCAGTCACATCGCATAGCACCTTTTGCTTGCTTGGATGCTTTCATAGCCAATCTTGCAGGTGATTTGGGAGGGATATAGTGTCATCTTCATTTTGCAAATTAAGGGAATCAACAGACCAGAGGAGTTAAATGCACATCTACTTATAATAAAAGATTTCTGAGTCTTCTGCCTTGGATAAAAGTTTCCCTCTTTCAGGAGGAAAGGAACAGATGAAGACTAGGTATTTTTGATAGGACAGATACAGCTTCTTTCAGAGAAAGGTCATAGTAGGCTGTGGGTAGAGTGATAAGCCCTGTGGTCCCTAGAAACTCTGGCCCCAAGTTATTCTTCATTTCCAGGTCTCTTGCATGAGATGTATGCCCTCAAAGAGGTTCAAATTAGTGAGCATATTTTTTTCTAGTAAACGAACTGAGTTGGCCTCTTTTCTATATTCACAGGGACTTTCATAGAAAGCCTTGGTTTAACTGTGTTTCTCCCTCTCCTCCTTCCACAGAATGGTCTCCCTTCAGAGAAGAACCCATATGTTTTTAATGGTGATTTTGTAGATCGAGGAAAAAATTCCATAGAGATCCTAATGGTCCTGCTTGTGAGTTTTCTTGTCTTCCCCAATGACTTTCACTTGAACAGAGGGAACCATGAAGATTTTATGATGAATTTGAGGTAACCTTGGTGTTTAGATTTCCTTTTATTTCCCATGCTGGAAAATGCTGCTATGTTTATTTCCCAACAAAGACTTAAAAGTAAAGAAGGAGAGATGAGAGGAATTTCAAGGAAGACCTCAATTCTTATTCCTGTTTTCCACCCCCAGTCTTCAACTGAGTGATGATCGGTTTCTCTAAAGCCCCTTCCTATCTTTTCTTCTAGTCCTGTTCTTCCTTCTCCCTTTTATTATGTTCTTTCTCTTGGTGGTATGTACATCCTTCCAAGACCAAATTGCATTTTGGGTAGGTATTGTAGGCCAGGTTTGCAGGTATGATAGGTTCTATGAGCAGACAGAATCATTCTGTTGAACTCTATTTTTTTGCCTCAAATATTGTTTCAGAAAGTAGTACCATGTTTGCACTAATGTGTGTATTTTTATGACGTGGTCATTGTCTCTGGCATAGTAGTTCATAAATAGTTCTGAGAACAGCTGTAACAGAATTTGACTCACTGGAGATTTGAGGAATAAAGTTTTGTTAAATGCTTTTAGAATTTTTGCTGAAAAGCACAGTAGGTTACAAATATTCCCTCCTTCTTCTTTTCCTTTCATCAATTGCAGAAAACAGAAATCAGTTTGTTCCAGGGAAATAGAAGGCATGGAATGTCTCAGGCTTTTGGTCCTGGGCTTTTGGGTACCTTGATCAGAGCTCAACTAATCAGATTTTTGGGGGGAGGGGGTGTTTTGACAGCTAGATTAAATACAGTTTCAGTTCTAATTCTTCAGGTGTGAAAGTAAATGTTAAGACTATCATGAACAAATCAGTGAATCCAAGTATGATATATTTCATACATCATAAGAACTTTTGTAAATGTCACAATGTACCCTCATGCAGCAAAAAAATAAAAACAAACCTATCCTATATAAAATAGTTCAACACTTCTGTTTCCTATGCCATATATCCTTTCATTTATTCAGTTAGCAAATCATATTATCTAGTGCCTGTTACAGTTAATGAAAGTCAAATAGACCCTGCCACATTGAGTTTATATTTATCAGGAAAGACATATGTTGAGCAGGTTTTTCAAGTGTGATGAGTTTTTAAAAGAGGTATTCAACTTTGTCTGAGGACTGATGGAAAGTTCTCCCTTATAACTATGGCACTAGCCTGAGTCTTAAAGGATGACTTAGGCAATCAAGACAGAGGCACAGTGTGGGAATGGGAAACTGTACTACGGTGAGGAGACAACTTAAGACAGGACTTTTTTAGATGTGAAAGAAATTCAGGAAAGCAAAAACACAGAAAGGATAGGATAGTGCCTGGTAGTACTGGAAATACAAGAAATGGTTGAATGGTGCAAAGGAATATGAACATGTTTTATATGAACAAGAGAATATCATTGGTAAACATTATAAAATGTATGTTTTGAATTGTAGCTGAAAGAGTGATTTGGAGAGGAGCAAGAGTGGACTCAGGGAAGTCAATTAAGAAGTGGTTAAAAAATAGATGATAGATTCTCATTTAGACCCAAGTTGGTGGTGATGGATATGCAAATAAAAAGATTCAAGAGAACCTTAGGCAATTATGGTGTTGGGCTCAGTAAGTTGATATGAGAAACTTGAAAGAATAAGGAATTGAGAATAACATGGTTTGAGTTTGGGGGGTACAACCGTATCATTCTGAAGGAAAATGATGAGTTCAGTTTGGGATAAGTTGATTTAATGTGCTGTTGAATAGACAGTTAAATGTACGTGTCCAGAGATCAGAAATGAAGTGTAGTCTGGAGTGTCATCCTCTGATATTGATACTGGATAGTAACCAATGCCCTGCCTGGGGAGGGTTGATATTGCTAAGTAGAAAGTGATGGAAAGAATCTGAAGGAATGCCAATATTTAAGGCTAAGAGGAGAATTTGCAAAAGAGTTTCAAAGTAGCCAGAAAGGTAGGAGGAATACCAAGAGAATTGATTGTCACAAAATCTAAGAGAAGTTTTCGAGAAGGAAGGCATTTAGTGTTTTAGAGTAAGAACCTGAGGACTACAAGGTTTACACTGGTTAAACAACATCGACTCCTTTGGTGAGTATAGGGGACAATTCATCTCAGAAAACCTAATGTTGCTGGGCACCAGTGGTTCACAGCTGTAATCCTAGCTACTCAGGAGGCATAGATCAGGAGGATCATGGTTTGAAGCCAGCCCGGGCAAACAGTTTGTAAGACCCTATCTTGAAAAAAAATCCATCACATAAAAAGGATAGTGGTGTGTCTCAAGGTGTAGGCCCTGAGTTCAAGCCCCAGTATAAAAAAAAAAAAGAACAAAAGAAAGAAAAAGAAAACCTAATGTTACACTGTACAAGCCAGACATGACATGATTTGTATGGAAACATGGGGTGAATGTGCTATGTTCCTGCTTTACCATGTTGAATATTTAGAGTACATACTACTATCCTAAAGCAAAGAAAAGTTATTGAAAAAAATCTCCCTCTGCTATTGCCAATACTTCTTATTAAAACCCTCAACACCAGTCATTATCTTCTAGGCTTTTTATGGAGGGGGTCTTCCTTCACTCTTTTTTTTCTGATCATTTACTATAAGATATAGGCTGTATGAGAAAAATCTAAATTAAAAGCCCTCTCCCACATAGCTTCCTCCAGCTGCCACAGCACACTTCTCAAAACACTTTACGCCTTTACACAACCCATTCCTACTATGTATTTCTTAAGTTGTCTTATAATTGTTTCATGAAAATCTGTTTTCTTTCTCTGATTATACCAGAAGCTGCTTGAGAGTAGAGATGATTGCTTTTGTTTTTTACCCGTCATGCCTAGCATAGACTCTAGTAAGTAAAATTTCCAACTGAAGTCTAGTTTTTTGGGTTTCTGGTGATAGTGAGTTGTCAAAATTTCTCCCCCTTTGAAATGACTCATATAAGTAGGGAGTTATCAATAATTAATAGTTTCAATCCTATTATTTTTAGGTATGGCTTCACAAGAGAAGTTTTGCAAAAATACAAGGTAAGACTCATTCTTTTTAAATTTTTTGATATTTATACATAGAAGTAAATAAAAAGCCAATAATGACCAGATTGTTGCCTTAGGAAAGGCAGCTAGACAGGATCCATGCCAAAAAATACAGCAGGAATCCCTCACCATGGCAGAGCTTTAGTTTTGCTTTTTCATTGTGACTTTTGTGTCATTTTCAGCTTAGATATGAACATATATTCCATTGCTTTCAAGGTACCTACCTGGGATTTGTTTTACTCAAGTATGATGAAATAGGCAGACACAGAAATGATTGTCATGAAGAAAGAGGGTTTTATTCCCAGTTACCTGGAAACAGGAGGCATTGCATGCCACACTGGTGTGGGGGGGAACTACATGGGAGAGTACCAGAGTCAGTCAGAAGGTGGAGGGAATCAGGGAAAACATGGGCAAAAGCATTTATTGTAGTTTTCCTGGGAGGGAAAGGCAAGGTGTCTCAGGGTAATCAGGCTTAAGATTGACTAGTTAGAATAATGTTAGCCTGCTCTGGGGCATAAATAAGGGTTGTCCCTAGGTGTTTGGTACCTGGCCCTGGGGTGATTAGTGTCCCTGAGTGTGGGAGCTTAATAAAAGAGGTCCTAGGAACTGTGGGCTTTAAATTGGTTGATTTACATATGGGAAACAAGTCACTTACTATCTCTAGGAATTAGTTAGCCTGGGAGGGACAATCTCTCCTCTAGGTTGGGCAAGCCCCCAAGATGTCAAAGTACCACAAATACAAGCCAGGCTTAGTGCCAGTGGTTCACACCTGCAATCCTAGCTGCTTGGGAGGCTGAGATTGGGAAGATTGGGGTTTGATGCTCACCCAGGCAAAACTGTAGTTTACAATGTTACCCAGTAGCTGGGCATGGTGGCCTGTGTCTGTCATCCCAAGCTGTGCAGGAGGAAGAGATTGGAGAATTGTGGATCTAGGACAGCCCAGGCAAAAAAGCTTGCAAGACCCCATCTCAATGGAAAAAGCTGGGTATGGTGGTACACACCTGTTATCCCAGCCACCATGGAAGTGTAAAATAGGACAATCATGGTCCAGGCCTTACTGGGCAAAAAGTGAGATCCTATCTCCAAAATAACCTGAGCAAAAAGGACTGAAGGTATGACTCAAGTGGTAGAGCACCTGTCTAGCAAGTGAGAAGCCCTGAGTTTAAACCCTGGTACCAAAAAACCCCACATATATTGCATATTATGTATTGTTTATATATGTCAGAAATAGAGAATAAAAATCATAATTAATACATAGTAGTCAATTAGTGGATTCTTGCTGATTTTTTTGAGTGATGTGAAAACTATGACTTTTTACATATATCAGGACTATTCAATAAACTGAGTCTATCAAGAAACAAAACTTATGCAAGCTCTTACTTACAGCTACATGGGAAAAAAATCTTGGAAATCTTGGAAGAATTCTATACCTGGCTCCCGATTGGTACGATCATTGACAATGAAATCCTGGTCATACATGGTGGGATATCAGAGTCCACAGACTTGAATTTACTCCACCAAATAGAAAGAAGCAAAGTAAGAAGTAATATTTGCATGAATCTTGTCTCAGAGATTTTTCATGGAATATGTACTTCATTTGTCATTTTGCATTGATTTGTGTTTTAGTGGTTGTTGTGACTCAGAAAAGATTAGTAAAAATTTTAAGAAAATCTATGGCTACATGATAAGTGGGTAACTTCTACATATGGAAAATCTTTTTAAAAAATGATGTCAAAAGTGGGAAAATAAGGAAGTGTTGGCATTTCATATAGTATATAAAAGTGAAAAATCTTGATTTTTAAAAACTAAAACCTCAATTCATTTACATTGTGATAAAATGTATATAACATGAAATTTACTACTATAGCCATTTTTAAATGTATATACATTTCACTGGCAATAAGTGCATTGACATTATTGCATAGCCATCACCACTATAACTGCCATCCATTTACAGAACTTTTTACCTTCCTTGACTGAAATTGTATTCATTAACCAGAAACTCCCCATTCTCACTCACCCTTCAGCCAGAATAACCAATATGCTAATTTCTGTGTCTATGAATCTGACTACTCTAGGTACCTCATATAAGGAGAATCATAGAGCAATTAATTTCTGAATTCATATGATTTCCCTTCAAGTGGATCAGGATAATTTAAAAAAATATTTTAATCCTAAACAATCATATTAAATACAACAAATGTAGAACAGGAACCTGTATAGAACCTCTCAGGGAAGTGCATATGTGGAACCTGTAAAGATTCCACAAGTAGTAAAGGGCTTGTTGGGTGTGCCTTACAGTGTAACTGTATTTGTCTTCCTCTACTACCAGAGCCAAGCTAAGCCTCCAGACTAGGGACAAAAGGGGAAGATGCCACATGAACATGAGGACCAATAGCAGCCATCATGCCAGATGATGGTATATGATCCTAATGGGAAACCTTAAGCATTACCCTTCAGGACTGATAGTGAACTTCCAATCCATCAGGGCAGTAGGAGTCTAGAACTAGAAGTGAATCTGATAGAGATAGAAATGTAATGTCCATCACACCTTGAGGTTTCAGAGCCTCTATACTTTTATACACATGTGAATGACAATATTGTTGCTGTCATCCTCTCATCCTTTTAATTTCAGGCTAGATCAGGTCTCCTTTATGTGCTCTCAAGCCCTTTGTGCATGCCTTTCATAACAGTTACCAAAATTAAATAATGAATCATGGTACTGGTTTTTAGTATATTTCTCTGCCTCTCCAACTTACTGATTAAAAACCCCACCACTTGAGATGTAGTAAGTACATATTTTTTAATATCTCAAGAGATTTAAAACCAAAGAAGGCCAAACCTAAGATAAAACTAGATAGAAGCTTTCTTACAACTCCTTTCCCTAAATCCCTGGTGATTTTACTTACTTCCCTGCCCTTCCTCATTGAGGTTTATACCTGGCTAAACTGATTGTTCTGGTGTAACTATTAATAGTTCTTCCTTCTACAATAAAAAAACATCCAAGTTGCAATAAATTTTAAGGCTATCCTAAATTTAAGTTACCCTTTCTTATGATATCAACAAATAAGTCAATATGACATTTTGATCAAGATTAAAAGTATTAACATAGCAAGTGGATATGATTTTAGCCAAGAGAAAGAGAATGTGATGTTTTTGTCAGTCAAATATTGGCAAGCACATGGCATGAATGCTGTACTCTACTACCATCCACCCTATGACTGCAATGCTAATCAGCCATGGCAGCTACTACCAATTAGATCGAAAATTTTTACTTTCCTGAGGTAAAGTATAGCTGGCCCTATCTAAGACTTTTTGAGATATTGAGAACATGTCTCAGGAATATCTCTTACTATCTCTGTAGAGACCCTAAGTTGAGAGCTACCTTGACATAGAAAAGACTGTGAGGCTCTGATGTCAAACAGATTTAGCTAGGTTTACCTCCTGCATGTGCCACTTCCTAGCTTGGTGATTGGGCAAGGTACTAACATTTTCTAAGCTTCAGTTTCCTCACCTGTAAATTAAAGGTAAAAATACCTACCATATTGGATTATAGGGAAGATTAAATACCTAGATAAAGAAAGTAGCATGTAGTAAGTACTAAACATAGAGCTCTATTCTCCAGCTTCCTTTTTTTCCTGATATTTGAATCTGAGGTTTGAATTTTAGTCACTAATAGATTCTGAGGGAAGTGTTTGAGCTAGTAATTTTCCCAAAATACCTCAAATTTCATCCCCTTCAGGGATCACTGTTCCATTTACTCATAAGACTGGTTTTAAAGATTTGACTTGTATATAGTTTGGGTGTTCTACCCCTCATACAGTGACATTGAACTGACATAGTTGTATTAAATAAATATAATAATTGATTTGTCATGAAAGTAGTAGGTTCAAGCTCCTAGAACTCTATCAGATGAGATACAACAGTAGATTTCTAAGTCCAATTTTATAATTTTCCCCCATTTCTGATCTCATAGGACCCTCCAACTCTCAGGGTGACCATACTTCTTGGTTTACACCTGTGGTTGTGTTTTGCTTATTAATAGGGGAGGGGTAATGTTGATGACAACCTCCATTTCAGGTACACTAAAGGCATTTTGTTAAGTTGCACAAGTTGGGTGTCAGTGCAGAGGGACAGAAAAGATTCTATAAGACTAAGACTCTAGTTTAGTATTCAAATTCCAGGGACTGTGGGAAAGGTTAGCTAGTAGGTCCCCCAAGTAAATACAGTGGTTTGGTACCTTAGGGGGTTTGGGGCAAAGTATCCTACTCCTAAGTGGCCTTGAAAACTGCAGAGCTACACATACATAAGCGACCATGTGATCTTGCCCATTGAGTTTATCCAAAGTGAATTGTGAGGACCTAGGCCCAGAGGGTTCACTTAGGATATTCTGCTGTGCTGAAGATCTGAGGACATTTGTTGAGGGAACACAAGGAAGGTAGACTATGAACTACTTAATAATAACTGAGATTGAATTTGATTGGAATTTGCAAACAGCTCAATGAGATAAGACTTCAGAATAAGATTAAGTTTTATATTTGAAAAATAAAATCAGGATTGCACACCATAGTTTATAGAAGATATAAGCACCTGCCACAAGAATTGCCAATTCACTACACTATGGGCATAAGTATGATGGATGTATTATTTTAAATTGTTTTGTGTGAATTTGTGGTGCAACAAAGAAACGGGTATAAAATTACACACTCAGGTGTGTAGTGGAAAGCAGAGGGATTATAGTAGTTGATGTGGTATTGGAAAGACATTTTATTTTCCAAAGAAACACAGAAGCATTGCTACCAGGATTATCGAACATAACGAATTGCTGACAGGTCAAGTTCAGAACTATACTGCATTTAGGTTGAAGGGCTTCCAAAGTTTTTAATCTGTCTCCTTTGAGAACGTTCCTGGACACAGATGTGTTTTCTCATTTTTTTCTGGAAAAGACAACAAAGTGAAAAGCAACTATAATTTTGCAAGATATTTCTGAATTTCTCAAAGTCCCAGGTATAGATAAAGGTCCTAAGGGAGGCTAATTTTCCATGCACTTAGCATCTTCTATTTCCTGTGATAATGCCTGAGAATATATTATCACCTATTATATATGTGCTTCTGGGATTCTTAGAAAGTCTAACGTGAAACTTTCCCTATATGGCAGTGTTTCTAGTTGAAAAATGTACAAACAGAATTCAACAGATCCATTTTACAGACTCCAGTGGGTCCACAAGTCATACGAGGCAGGAGAGATGGAAAAGGACACTGTTTTCATTGGGTTGAATCAAAAGAATATAGACAGAATCCCAATTGATACTGAAGTGTTTGCATGCAACTCAATAAGCACAGGAGTTGTCTAAAGCACGGATTTGTTTTGTAGATGAAAACTGTGCTGATGCCACCCGGGTCAATAAATAGAGGCCAAATCGCTGACTTGACGAGAAGTAAAGCAGGTGCAACCTCTACTCTTCCAGGAAAAGGTGCTTCAGATGATTCCCATTCTGAACAGTTATCAAAGCATGAATGGGAACAGGTAGGTAATCAAAGTGTTTACCAGAATGGTATGAAACCAACACAGATGATTTTGTCCCTTACAATATGTAACTAAAAATTGACTTTACTGTTACAAGCAGATTATATCATTTTCTCTGAATTCGTGTGTGTGTGTGTGTGTGTGTGTGTGTGTGTGTGTGTCTTTCTTTGGACAGTACTGGAGTTTGAATTTAGCACCTCACACTTCTTAGGCAGGTGATCTACCACTTGAGCCATGCCTCCTGCACTTACTTGCTTTAGTTATTTTTTGAATAGGGTCTGTGTTATTGCCTGGGATTGACCTTGGACTGTCCTTCTGCCTGTGCTCTTGTGTACCTGGGATTACAGCTGTGTGCCACCATGCCCAGCATGCTTGTTGACAGGGAGAAAGGGGGTGTCTTACTAACATTTTACCTGGGCTGGCTTCGAACCATGATCCTCCTGACAAGCTGACATTATAAGCCTGTGCAAACCACACCCAACCCTCACCACTATATTTTAATACCTTGTTGAGATAAAATCCACATACCATATAGCTGACTCATTTGAAGTGTATAATTCAGTAGTTTTGAGTATGTTCACAACTGTCCAACTATCACCTCAATCCAATTTTAGAACATTGTTATTGTCTAGAAAAGGAACTCCATATCACTTAGCAGTCACTTCCCTACCTCTCCCCTCCCCCTGTCCACCAGCCTTAGGCAACCACTGCCTACTTTTAGCCTTTATCGATTTACATATGTTGTTGAAATGGACACATGCAGTATGTGGTCTTTTGTGTCTGGCATCTTTCACTCAGCACAATGTTCTTTATGTTCATCCATGTTATAGCGGGAGTCAGAACTTGCTTTTTTTGCTGAATAATATTCCATGTATGGATAGACTACATTATATTTATTCATTTACCAGTTGATGGAAAGCCGGGTTGTTACCATTTCTTGGCCAGTACAAATAATGCTGCTATGAACATTCACATACAAGTTTTTGTGCATACATATCCTTTTAGGTCTCTTGTGTATATACCTAGGAGTGGAATTCCTAGGTGATAAGGTAATGCTAAAGTTAAACATTTTGAAGTTCTAATCTGTTTTCCCAAGTAATTATACAATTTACATTCCCACTTCAATGTGTAAGTGCTCCAATTACTCTACTTCCTCACCTGCACTTACCATCTGTGTGTGCATGTCTGTGTGCTGGGGCTGACCACTCTGCTATAGGGCTACCCATAACCTCTGTTTGTTGTTTTGATTTTTGCCATCCTAATGGATGTAGGTGGGATCTCATGTGTTCTTGGTTTATTTTAGATTGAGGAGATTCAAAAGGGTGAGACACAGAGTTTTGTCATCCTGCTCACATAAAAGCTGTAGTTCAGTAAAACTTTGACATTTTCTGTGGTTTGAAAATTTTCTGGAAAGAATGTTACAAGTAATTAATCTCTCAGGCAATTACCACTGAAAGACTCCTGAATTTCAGAAGATAGTTTGTTTTGAGAGAAAAGAGATGGCTGCTAAGGAAGAATTTGTTTCACCAACTTAGGAACCTTTATACTTTTGTTTGTTTGTTTGTTTGTGAGATCCAGAATTAAATCTATATTACAACCACAGTCTGAGAACTCCTAGTCAAGTGAATAATTTCTAGATAGAAAAAAGAAATGCAGAACTCTTGGAATGGATTCTGAAAGAGAAACTCATTTCTTAAAAACTGTTAACACTTAAGATGTTATGCTAAAGAAAAATGAGTGTTAGATACAGCGTCCTCATTTAATTGATAATGACTAGGGCCCAAAATAAGTAAAGTGATTTCCCCAAGATGACATAGATAATTACTTGAAGAGTTAGCCCTTTGGTTGGTGGTTATTCTAGTCCAACAGAGTACCATAATATGTACATTTAACTTATGTAACTTATAAGTATTGCATATGGTAAAGAGGGAGAAAAAAGAAAAATGCTGTAAAATTTTATTTTCATGTACTTTATCATATTATCTACCCATTATCCTGTATATAAAACATTCACATGTCCATACTATTATATAGGGCTATATACATAAAATCATGTATGTTATATTCTAAGGGTAATTTAAGAGATTTTTCTGTGGGGCGCAGCAAGAAAAGGGAGTATACATGTAGGAAAATGACGTAATGACACCCATTATGTTCAAGTAATAAAAATGAATAAATAAAGAGTCCATCAAGGTAATTTTGTGACAAATGATTTGTATCCCATGTAGAAATTGAAAACTTAATGCCCTCCTAAGAAAACACAACTCCTTATGTTTCATGTTTCCTCCTTTGGAACCACCAAACATAAATTCATGATATAAGAGACAGATATGACTCAGTTTAAAATGCATGTGTTATTTTTGTCATACCACAAGCAAAGTAAGGGGATTGGATTGTATTAATTTAAATTTATTTATTTCCAACAGTTTTGCCACTGATGGAATTCAGTGGAGAACAAGGAGACTCTGGACTGACTCTTTGGGTGGTTTTAACTCTCACCTCTATTAGTCATCAAAAACTTTCAAAATGTGTGGTCTATGCCTGGTGCAAGATTTCTCTAGTGTTGACCAGCTACTGATTATTCCAGGGTGATTCTCCTGCCATTTCTGTTCTCTCCACCGTACTGTCCTTTCCCTCACTTATTTCTAGTTCAGCTTCAATTCCATAAGTTTAAGTTGATGCACAGTCAGGTTGAGCAAACATTTATGGTCCTCTTCACAAAACCTGATTTGGACATACTGGAATAACTAAACACATTAAATTGCATGCCTTTTCATGTCCTTGAAAGGAATATATGAAGGCAGAAGGGGTGTAGGTGTAGCTTAGTGGTATAGTGCTTGCCTGGCATGTACACCCACCTACCCCCACATGTATACAACTACAACAAACCGTGGAAGATATAGACTTTTAGAATCATTACCTCTGAGAACTTTGAGGTATTTTACAGGTCAACTGGCCAAAATGCCTGACTGAAAGATTTCAAAAGTGAGATTCAAAGAGATTTCAAAGAGTTTTCTGAAGGTTGTCACTATTTTAATGACAAAGATTGTTTTTCTCACTGTTCTTTAAGCTCTTAGAGGGAAGTGTAAATAAAAAATAAACATTTTATATAGATCAGAGCCACAAAGAACCTGATTTTCCATGCAAAATATTCTTAGAAACTTGAGCCTCCTGTCCTGGGCACCATGTAATCTGTACTTGCCTCTTCCAACCCCAAAAGGAACTGTTGTCCTAATAATACTCTTGTGGATTTAGGAGAACATCTTGGGAGATACAGTCTGTGGTAAATGTATTGCCAATACATGATGTTTGTAGAAAGAAAGTACAGAGCTTCCTCAGGCTGTATGCTCAATTGGACAAAAACCTAGCACCAGCTGAGAGATGTGTCTAATCTCTATAAACATATTAAAAATACCTAATGTCTGTTCATTGTGGGAAACTGCTTTGTCTCTGAACATGACAATGAAGCTCTCAAGAGAAAAGAATTTTGTGTATTCAACAATTGTGATACAAATGTTGTGAGTTTTTTAAAGACAAAGAGAAAAAAAGCAATGACCAATTTTTCACAGTTACTAGGTTTGTCTACCTTGGTTTTGGTGATTGCTAAATTGCTTATTGGGAATGAGCAAAAAGGGAGTTGGATGGCTATAGGTATTAAAATTATTCTTTAAAGGATGCATGGAAGAGGTGAGTATCAAATAATCTTAAAGGAGTAATGAGAAATAGCCCTTGGGTTACCTTGGATTAATATTTCTCCAAATAAGTTGGAATGGAGAAAGATGGACTCTTATAAGTAGTAGCCTAATTTGGTTTATTGTTCTAAGATTATTGACCTTCTGTGGAGTGACCCCAAAGGCAAGAAAGGCTGTTATCCAAACACAAGTCGAGGAGGAGGCTGCTATTTTGGACCAGATGTAACCTCCAGGTTCCTTAATAAATACCAGTTGAAGATGCTTATAAGGTCTCATGAGTGTAAGCCTGATGGATATGAAATCTGCCATGATGGAAAGGTGAGCTAACATCATTCATGACATTTTCAAAGACAGCCTTCCCCCAACCTTAGTCTTCTCTACACAGAGCGTGTCTTATCTAGAAGCTCATGAAAAGATGTCTTCCCTAGTACCAGACACGAATCCGAGACTGGAAGGTTCACATAGATTGTTTGAAGGGATTCACTGTCCCATTCCCTGACACACATTTGGCTTATTTCCTGACCTTCATTAATTTCAGAAACAGAAATTCTGATACATGACATTAAGGACACATAAAGAAAGACTTTTTTCTTTAAATTTGATTGTAAGCCATTTCCCCCATAAGCGTGGGTTAAGAATGAATATATGTTTCCTCACAGAGCCTATAAAAGGCAGAAGGAAACCAAGTTTTCTCTCTTCCCCTTTTTGCACATTTCCTATGCAGAGTAAAAAACACAAAGTTCTCTTCACGTAGCTGAGTAGCTGATTTCTAGCAAGTTGATCCTGTGGTCAGTTTTACTATAGCTACTAAAATAGTGTGTGTTGTGCTCTTTCAGTGGTGTCAACAAGGCTAGAAGAGGGGAGGACTGAGGAACGAGTTCCTATCCTTAGTTGTCCTGGGCCGGCTCTTCTTCTACAGCAAATACTCTTTCAGTGGTGTCAACCAAGGCTAGAAGAGGAGGACTGAGAACGAACTGCTCGGGCCCCCATCTCCTATCCTAGCTTGTCCTGGCGGTCTCGGCTCTTCTTTCTACAGCAAATAGCAGTAAATAACTATGAATACCAAATTGTGCAGCATTTCTTTTTATGTGAACACCTTACTTTTCTTAACTCGATTTATTTTAGGCTCATATTAATATTGCAAGATGAGTAAGGCAAATGTTATTTAGGATTTCTTTTTTATGGAAAAATAGAAAATACAATGGCTATCTGATTGACATGTTCATTATGACAGAAGTGGCATTAAGGTCAGGTCCTACTGCCAACAATATTGTTTTTCTATGTTCCACCATGCTTCCAAGTCTGGATCCATCCCTAGATAGTGGCTATGGTTCTTTATTTCATCCATTATCCCTCTGCTTTTGGTTTTGTGGGGTCTTGAACTCTAAATCACTGAGCTCTAAGCAAAAGAAAAAGACTGAATTACTAGAAAATTTTATTTTGAATACTCAAGTATTAGAAGGGAAAAAAACCCCAAGGGACTTGTCCCCTTGGAAAATTAGAATTTCCATAATCAACATTACAGAGGATTCTAAGAGTTGGTAGTAAAATTGTGCATAAGAGTGCTGGCTCATACACTGGAGATATTGGATGAGTGGCCAGGAGTTAGTTCTCCTGGAGACACTGACTAAAAACCTTTGTTTTCCTCCAGTGGAATCATAAGAAGTCATTGTTCAGGTACATGGGTAATTGCCAGGATTTTGAGCTCTGCTTGATTTTTGCTTTTTAAGGATTGAAGTTATTTCTGGCTTTCTTGAATGACTATTTGAGTACTAATTTTATGAAACCTGGCCCTCTTTTTCTTCAATCAGGGTCATTACTTGTATTTTTCTTGCTTCTAATATTATGAAGGAAGGGCAGGCAATCGAGGGAGCGTACATTCAAACGGGCCATGGCACAACCCCACGGTTTTTCCAGTACCAAGTAACTAGTTCATCATGCCTGAGCCCTCTTCACCAAAGGTGTGTGTATTGATAATCAAGTGTTACCAGTCCCATGTGACTAAGGGTGTCCATGCAAGTTAAGGCAGCCCCTAGTGGTTACTCATTGGTATAAACAAAATGGAAATACTTCTAGGCCTCAACAAGTGGTGAATACACCCACATTTGATAACAAAAGAATAATTTTCATTAAGCAGCCAGTACCCATGAATGTAACTGCATGTAAAGAAAAGACTTTCACACACACTCAGTCCCTTCACCTACAACCTTCTTTGCCCCACAGACAGCCCCATCTCTTCTTGCACTTTCTTCTATACACAGCAGTATATGTGACTAAAATGTTCAGTATCTCTCCGTGTTTCCTTTACTTCCTTAACATGATCATTTTTAAGTTTTTATACATTATAAAACCTATATGTTTATTGTTACCAAGTAAGAAAAAAGAAGTATAAATATTATTTTCTTTCCCCTTCTGAATAGTCCTTTTGTGTTGCGTTATGTTTATTTATTTGCATATATTGAACTGTCCTTTCATCCTGGAATGAATCCAACTTGATTGTGTTGTATGGTCTTTTCATGTGTTGTTGAATTTGGTTTGCAAGTGTTTTATTGAGAATTTTTGTGTTTATGTTCATCAAGTAAATTGGTTTATAATTTTCTCTTTTTTTCTTTCTTTTTTTATTGTTTTATTATTCATATGTGCATACAATGCTTGGGTCAATTCTCCCCACCTGCCCCCACCCCCTCCATTACCACCCACTCCACCCTCCCTTCCCCCCCACCTCAATACCCAGCAGAAACTATTTTGCCCTTATCTCTAATTTTGTTGAAGAGAGAGTATAAGCAATAATAGGAAGGAACAAGTGTTTTTGCTGGTTGAGATAAGGATAGCTATACAGGGAGTTGACTCACATTAATTTTCCGTGCGTGTGTGTTACTTTCTAGGTTAATTCTTTTTGATCTAACCTTTTTTCTAGTTCCTGGTCCCCTTCTCCTATTGGCCTCAGTTGCTTTTAAGGTATCTGCTTTAGTTTCTCTGCGTTAAGGGCAACAAATGCTAGCTAATTTTTAGGTGTCTTACCTATCCTCACCCCTCCCTTGTGTGCTCTCGCTTTTATCATGTGCTCAAAGCCCAATCCCCTTGCTGTGTTTGCCCTTGATCTAATGTCCACATATGAGGGAGAACATACAATTTTTGGTCTTTTGGGCCAGGCTAACCTCACTCAGAATGATGTTCTCCAATTCCATCCATTTACCAGCAAATGATAACATTTCGTTCTTCTTCATGGCTGCATAAAATTCCATTGTGTATAGATACCACATTTTCTTAATCCATTCGTCAGTGGTGGGGCATCTTGGCTGTTTCCATAACTTGGCTATTGTGAATAGTGCCGCAATAAACATGGGTGTGCAGGTGCCTCTGGAGTAACCTGTGTCACAGTCTTTTGGGTATATCCCCAAGAGTGGTATTGCTGGATCAAATGGTAGATCAAATTTAGCTTTTTAAGTAGCCTCCAAATTTTTTTCCAGAGTGGTTGTACTAGTTTACATTCCCACCAACAGTGTAAGAGGGTTCCTTTTTCCCCGCATCCTCGCCAACACCTGTTGTTGGTGGTGTTGCTAATGATGGCTATTCTAACAGGGGTGAGGTGGAATCTTAGTGTGGTTTTAATTTGCATTTCCTTTATTGCTAGAGATGGTGAGCATTTTTTCATGTTTTTTGGCCATTTGAATTTCTTCTTTTGAGAAAGTTCTGTTTAGTTCACTTGCCCATTTCTTTATTGGTTCATTAGTTTTGGGAGAATTTAGTTTTTTAAGTTCCCTATATATTCTGGTTATCAGTCCTTTGTCTGATGTGTAGCTGGCAAATATTTTCTCCCACTCTGTGGGTGTTCTCTTCAGTTTAGAGACCATTTCTTTTGATGAACAGAAGCTTTTTAGTTTTATGAGGTCCCATTTATCTATGCTATCTCTTAGTTGCTGTGCTGCTGGGGTTTCATTGAGAAAGTTCTTACCTATACCTACTAACTCCAGAGTATTTCCTACTCTTTCCTGTATCAACTTTAGAGTTTGGGTCTGATATTAAGATCCTTGATCCATTTTGAGTTAATTGGTATAGGGTGATATACATGGATCTAGTTTCAGTTTTTTGCAGACTGCTAACCAGTTTTCCCAGCAGTTTTTGTTGAAGAGGCTGCTATTTCTCCATCGTATATTTTTAGCTCCTTTGTCAAAGACAAGTTGGTTATAGTTGTGTGGCTTCATATCTGGGTCCTCTATTCTGTTCCACTGGTCTTCATGTCTGTTTTTGTGCCAGTACCATGCTGTTTTTATTGTTATTGCTTTGTAATATAGTTTGAAGTCAGGTATTGTGATACCTCCAGCATTGTTCTTTTGACTGAGTATTGCCTTGGCTATTCTGGCCTCTTGTGTTTCCATATAAATTTAAGTAGATTTTTCAATCTCTTTAATGAATGTCATTGGAATTTTGATGGGAATTGCATTAAACATGTAGATTACTTTTGGGAGTATAGACATTTTACTATGTTGATTCTACCAATCCATGAGCATGGGAGATCTCTCCACTTTCTATAGTCTTCCTCAATCTCTTTCTTCAGAAGTGTATAGTTTTCCTTGTAGAGGTCTTTCACATCTTTTGTTAGGTTTACACCTAGGTATTTGATTTTTTTTGAGGCTATTGTAAATGGAATTGTTTTCATACATTCTTTTTCAGTTTGCTCATTGTTAGTGTATAGAAATGCTAATGATTTTTCTATGTTGATTTTATATCCTGCTACCTTGCTATAGCTATTGATGATGTCTAGAAGCTTCTGAGTAGAGTTTTTTGGGTCTTTAAGGTATAGGATCATGTCATCTGCAAATAGGGATATTTTGACAGTTTCTTTACCTATTTGTATTCCTTTTATTCCTTCTTCTTGCCTAATTGCTCTGGCTAGGAATTCCAGTACTATGTTGAATAGGAGTGGAGATAGTGGGCATCCTTGTCTGGTTCCTGATTTTAGAGGGAATGGTTTCAGTTTTTCTCCATTAAGTATAATGCTGGCTGTAGGTTTGTCATATATAGCTTTTATAATGTTGAGGTACTTTCCTTCTATTCCTAGTTTTCTTAGAGCTTTTATCATGAAATGGTGTTGGATCTTATCAAAGGCTTTTTCTGCATCTATTGAGATGATCAAGTGGTTTTTGTCTTTGCTTCTGTTAATGTGGTTTATTACGTTTATTGATTTTCGTATGTTGAACCACCCCTGCATCCCTGGGATGAAGCCTACTTGGTCGTGGTGAATAATCTTTTTGATGTGTTGTTGAATTCGTTTGCCATTATTTTGTTGAGGATTTTTGCATCAATGTTCATTAAGGAGATTGGCCTATAGTTCTCCTTTTTGGAGGTGTCTTTGCCTGGTTTTGGGATAAGTGTAATACTGGCTTCATAAAATGTGTTTGGCAGTTTTCCTTCCCTTTCTATTTCATGGAACAGTTTAAGGAGGGTTGGTATCAGTTCTTCTTTAAAGGTCTGATAGAATTCAGCAGAGAATCCATCAGGTCCTGGACTTTTCTTTTTGGGAGACTCTTGATTGCTGCTTCAATTTCATTTTGTGTTATAGATCTATTCAGGTGATTAATTTCCTCTTGGTTCAGTTTTGGATGATCATATGTATCTAGAAATCTGTCCATTTCTTTAAGATTTTCAAATTTATTTGAATATAGGTTCTCAAGTAGTCTCTGATGATTTCCTGGACTTCCATGGTGTTTGTTGTTATCTCCCCTTTTGCATTCCTGATTCTACTAATTTGGGTTTTTTCTCTCCTCATTTTAGTCAGGTTTGCCAGGGGTCTATCGATCTTGTTTATTTTTTCAAAGAACCAACTTTTTGTTTCATTAATTCTTTGTATGGTTTTTTTGGTTTCTATTTGTTGATTTCAGCTCTTATTTTTATTATTTTCTCCTTCTATTTGTTTTGGGATTTGCTTGTTCTTGTTTTTCTAGGAGTTTGAGATGTATCATTAGGTCATTGATTTGGGATCTTTCAGTCTTTTTAATATATGCACTCATGGCTATAAACTTTCCTCTCAGGACTGCCTTAGCTGTGTCCCATAGGTTCCGGTAGGTTGTGTTTTCATTTTCATTGACTTCCAGGAACTTTTTAATTTCCTCTTTTATTTCATCAATGACCCATTGTTCATTAAGTAATGAGTTATTTAGTTTCCAGCTGTTTGCATGTTTTTTGTCTTTACTTTTGTTGTTGAGTTCTACTTTTACTGCATTGTGATCAGATAGTATGCACGGTATAATTTCTATTTTCTTATATTTGCTGAGGCTTGCTTTGTGCCCTAGGATATGATCTATTTTGGAGAAGGTTCCATGGGCTGCTGAGAAGAATGTATATTGTGTAGAAGTTGGATGAAATGTTCTGTAGACATCAAGTAGGTCCATTTGATCTATTGTATATTTTAGATCTTGGATTCTTTATTGATTTTTTGTTTGGATGACCTATCTATTGATGATAATGGGTGTTAAAGTCTCCCACAACCACTGTGTTGGTGTTTATATATGCTTTTAGGTCTTTCAGGGTATGTTTGATGAAATTGGGTGCGTTGACATTGGGTGCATACAGATTGATGATTATTATTTCCTTTTGGTCTATTTCCCCTTTTATTAGTATGGAATGTCCTTCTTTATCTTGTTTGATCAATGTAGGTTTGAAGTCTACTTTGTCAGAGATAAGTATTGCTACTCCTGCCTGTTTTCGGGGGCCATTGGCTTGGTAAATCTTCTTCCAGCCTTTCATCCTAAGCCTATGCTTATTTCTGTCAGTGAGATGGGTCTCCTGTAAGCAACAAATTGTTGGATCTTCCTTTTTAATCCATTTTGTCAAACCGTGCCTTTTGATGGGTGAATTAAGTCCATTAACATTAAGCGTTAGTACTGATAGGTATGTGGTGATTCCTGTCATTTAGTTGTCTTAGTTGTTTGAAGGTTTGATTGTGTGTACCTAAGTTGAG